AGATTGAACTTCACAAAAAATAGAGGCTAATCTCTGAAGAACAATATTTTGGGCATAACTACACCAAGCTAAAATGGATTTCCTACAGCATCAAATAAAGTAAAAAGATATCATGATTAAAAAATTACATTACATTATAAAATATTTAATTATAGACATTAAGAATTAAAGTCTACAGTATGTTTTTAAAAAGTGCTTTTCCACTCTACCACAATTCTAGCTAAATATTCCCAGAATCCTTTACTGTACAACTGGCAAAATTACAAGAATCAGAATCAGAATAGAGCTGGAAGGGACCTTGAAGTTCTTCTAGTCCATCCCCCTGCTCAAGCAGGAGATCCTATACCATTTCAGACAAGTGACTGTCCAGTCTCTTCTTAAAAACCTCCATGATGAAGCACCCACAACCTCTGAAGGCAAGCTGTTCCACTGGTTAATTGTCCTCGTTGTTAGAAGGTTTCTCCTTAATTCCAGGTTGCTTCTCTCCTTGATTAGTTTCTATCCATTGTTTCTTGTCCTGCCTTCTGGTGCTTTGGAAAATAAATTGACCCCCCTCCTCTTTCTGGCAGCCTCTCAAATACTGGAATACTGATATCACGTCCCCCCCCCCAGTTCTTTTTTTCTCTAGACTATCCAAACCCAAATCCTGCAACTGTTCTTCATTTGTTTTAATCTCCAAGCATTTAATCATCTTAGTTGCTCTTCTTTGCACTTTTTCCAAAGTCTCAACATCTTTTTTGAAACGTGATGACCAAAACGTGATGACCATTCTAGATGTGGTCTTACTAATGCTTTATAAAGCAGTATTAATACTTCACGTGATTTTGATTCTATGCCAAGGTTTATACAAGCAAGGATGGTATTAGCTTTTTTGGCTGCTGCTGCACACTGCTGATTCATGTTTCAGTGATCGTCCACTAGGACTCCATGGTCCCTCTCACAGTTACTATTTTTGAGCCAGGTTTCGCCTAATCTATACTTCTACCTTTGGTTTTTTCCTGCCTAAATGTAAACTTTGCTTTTCTCTACATTAAATTTCATTTTGTTTGATAGGGCCCATTGTTCAAGTCTGTCAAGATATTTTTGAGCTGGTCTTCTGGAGTGTTGACTATTCCTGCCAGCTTAGTGTCATCTGCAAATTTGATGAGTTTGCCTTCTATTCCCTCATCTAAATCATTTACAAAGATATTGAAGAGTACTGGGCCTAAGGCAGTAGATGTAGTACCATTAAGGACTCCTCATTGAGTATGGTTTGTCAGCCAGTTAAAAATCCATCTGGTAGTGATACTGTCTATCCCACATTTTTCTAGCTTACCAAGAAGTAGTTGTGATCTACTTTGTCAAATGCCTTGCTGAGGTCTAAATATACTATGTCCACAGCATTTTGCTAGTCTACTAATTTAGTCAGTTTGTCAAAGAATGAAATAAGACTGATTTGTATGATCTGTTTTTTTTTAAAAAAAAAAACCATGCTGGCTTCTAGTTATAACTTTATTTATTTCTAGATGTTCACAGATCTGTTTTTTTATTATTTTTTTCCAGTATCTTTATTATTTATTATTATTATTATTAATTTAATTTCTATACCGCCCTTCTCCCGCAGGACTCAGGGCGGTGCACAGCATATTAAAACAGATACACATATCAATAAAAATAAAAACCCCTCTAAAACCAAATTAAAACCAAATATTCGAAGCTGTGTTCCAATTAAAATTATACTTAAAATCGTCCCTAAATAAAATCCTCCTTAGG